GCAACTAATAAAGAGCTAGCGTGGGGCCACTGGCACAAACAAGGCAGCTCCTTAGAACCTGAACTTCCTATTTGTTCCATTCCTTGGGTAGATAACGCCTGTTAATTACTCTGGAGAAATTATTTTGGCGAGGAGAGAGGGAAGATGGCGGCGTAGGAGGACGCTGGGCTCACCGCGCGTCCTGCTGATCACTTAGATTCCACCTACACCTGCCTAAATAACCCAGAAAACCGCCAGAGGATTAGCAGAACGGAGTCGCCGGAGCCAAGCGCAGACGAGAGGCCCACGGAAGAGGGTAGGAAGGGCGGCGAGGCGGTGCGCGCTCCACGGACTGGCGGGAGGGAGCCGGGGCGGAGGGGCGGCTCGCCGGCCAGGCAGAGCCCCCGAGTGTGGCTGGCAAAAAGCGGAGGGGCCTGACGGACTGTGTTCCGACAGCAAGCGCGACTTAGCGGCTGGGAGGTCATAAGTTAACAGCTCTGCTCAGAAAGCGGGAAGGCTGGAGGACAAAGGGATGGAGAGCTGCTGAGCCCCCGGACGACAGAGCTCAGTCTGGTGGGGAACAAAGGCGCCCGCCAGCTCCATCTCCCCCGCCCAGCCCCCAGCCAAAATCCCAAAGAGAACCAGTTCCTGCCAGGGAACTTGCTCGCTCCGCGCAAACACCCAACTCTGCGCTTCTGCGGAGCCAAACCTCCGGCAGCGGATCTGACTCCCTGCTGCTGCCACAGGGCCCCTCCTGAAGTGGATCACCTAAGGAGAAGCAAGCTAAGCCTGCCCCTCCTGCCCCTGTGCACCTTGCCTACCCACCCCAGCTAAGACGCCAGATCCCCAGCACCACAAGCCTGGCAGTGTGCAAGTAGCCCAGACGGGCCACGCCACCCCACAGTGAATCCCGCCCCTAGGAGAGGGGAAGAGAAGGCACACGCCAGTCTGACTGTGGCCCCAGGGGTGGGCTGGGGGCAGACATCAGGTCGGACTGCGGCCCCGCCCACCAACTCCAGTTATACACCACAGCACAGGGGAAGTGCCCTGCAGGTCCTCACCACGCCAGGGACTATCCAAAATGACCAAGCGGAAGAATTCCCCTCAGAAGAATCTCCAGGAAATAACAACAGCTAATGAGCTGATCAAAAAGGATTTAAATAATATAACAGAAAGTGAATTTAGAATAATAGTCATAAAATTAATCGCTGGGCTTGAAAACAGTATAGCTGACAGCAGAGAATCTCTTGCTACAGAGATCAAGGGACTAAGGAACAGTCACGAGGAGCTGAAAAACACTTTAAACGAAATGCATAACAAAATGGAAACCACCACGGCTCGGATTGAAGAGGCAGAGGAGAGAATAGGTGAACTAGAAGATAAAGTTATGGAAAAAGAGGAAGCTGAGAGAAAGAGAGATAAAAAAATCCAGGAGTATGAGGGGAAAATTAGAGAACTAAGTGATGCACTAAAGAGAAATAATCTACGCATAATTGGTATCCCAGAGGAGGAAGAGAGAGGGAAAGGTGCTGAAGGGTACTTGAAGAAATTATAGCTGAGAACTTCCCTGAACTGGGAAAGGAAAAAGGCATTGAAATCCAAGAGGCACAGAGAACTCCCTTCAGACGTAACTTGAATCGATCTTCTGCACGACATATCATAGTGAAACTGGCAAAATACAAGGATAAAGTGGAGGCCTCTGAGTGTGTCTCTAGCCATAGCCAGATCCCTCAGCTCTCCCTTACTGTGGTTGTTCATGTTAGCTTCTGAGATGTACGGACTGGAAAAAGAGACCCCAGAAGAACTGGGTGATGGTGAGGCAGAATGGGAAAACAGGAGTTTGTCAGCATGTGTCAGCAGCCTTCAGGGCCCTGATGCTTATTTGAGCTTAGGGGCTGGGCAGGGACAGGCCCTTGCCTTAGCTAAAGGCATGACTTCCAAGATATGGAAGAGTTGGGAGGCCCCAGGGCTGGAGACCTTTGTCCTGACAGATCAGTCCCAAAGGGCCCCATGGGGAGACCATGAGTGAGAGCACAAGGGTCTGGGGAGGGAGCAGGTCCCACCAGACTCCTCAGAGCGCTCACCTCTGCTAGCTGTGAGCTGCATTGGAGAAAGACAAAAGTGTGTCAAACTTTGATCATTCACTACAGGAATGCTTTGCAAATTACTAAGAATTAGAGACTAGCATCCGGAACACTGAGAGGAGAAAATATTTGAATGTGTATGTGTGTGCGTGCGCGCGCACACACACACACACACACACACACACACACACACACACACGTGATGCCCTGAGTGGTTGCTAGGGGTGATGGCACGGCTAGGAGGATGTCCTGTGTCGAGCATCCCTGAATCTGGGTGGTAAGAATGCTACAGAGAGAGGTGGCATGTTTTACTAAGGAAAAAATTATGTAGAATCTAGCACACTGCCCTGAATATAGATTACATGCTTAATTTCATTGGGATGATTTTTTACCAAAGATTTCCGAATTATTTGTGCTTGCTAATCACTGTGGAGATGCGGAAGAGGGTGGGTCAAAGTTGTCGGTGCCCAGGATGTGGGCAGCGTGCAAAAATAAAGGAAATTGGGATTCCAGTGTGAAATTAAAGCTTTGGCTTTCGAAGCTTAGAGTGTGCGCTGCTCTTTGCTTCCTTCCAAACCCCTTTTATTTCCCCGCTGAGAGAGAACCTTCTCTCATTTCCCCCCTCCTCCCTTGTTCCTTCGTGCGCCCCTCCTCCCTGCTGCCCAGGGCTACCCACGCCCCTGGCTTTCAGTGCACCACATAGAGGGTAGAAAAATGATCTGGACTAAGAGGAGCTGTGGATTTGGGGGTTGGGTCTAGTCTATGCTACTTTCCAGGTCTGGGCTTCCAGAAGATTGCAGCTTCTGTTTACTCCCATTTGGGAGTACCAATAAAGGATCCTACCCGCCTCGGATTCATTACTGAGCCCACGTGAGACAGCAGAGGCTGTCTGGAAGGCACTTAGCTTGTTACTGTCATCTCCACCATCCCCGGGGACACCCTGAGGTGGCAGTGGCTGTTCATTAGTGGCCATGTCCCACGACTATTTCCACAAGCACTTTGGAGAGCCCCTGTTGGCTAGCGTTGTGCCTGGGGCAGGGTGGGGAGGGGACCCACAGAGGCCGGAGGCCAGAACGTCCGCCCTCTAGAAGGTTCCTGAACTTGTCTGGGTACAAACAGAGGCACACAATGGATGTGAAGGCAATGCCAGCTTCGATGAGTTTGGGAATCCAACCGCCTGAAATGGGATTTCACTGCTATTGTTGCTTTCAAATGGGATGTACGTTGCAGATTGAACTTCCGTGTGAGTGAAAACCCTTCCTGAGGCCCTTGGAAACATCTTCCAACTTCCACTGTGTGGACTTGAGTCAACGAAACTACCCTTTACAGGCAAAGGTTCCCAAGAAGACTTAGTATTAGAAGCTGGTTGGAGAAAGGAAACTCACTCAGAAACCACATGGGCGACAGAGTGACCTTTTACAAAATAAGATTTTACAAAAATTTGAGACCACACACGCCTACCGTCTCTTACTCTGCTAGCAGGTAGTTAAGTACTGCAGGACTCTTAATCCAGGGTTTGTGTCAATTCTGCGCCCAGGTGTCCCAGGGCATGGCAGCGAACTCACAAGAGTGCCACAGAATATTTTTAAAATGTTCAAAGTGAACACAGGGACATTTGCCAGGTGCCGTGCTAGCAAGTAGTTTGGACCTAAGTACCTATTAATGGGGCCATCAGGTGTATCTTTTAGCCTGGGGGTACTGCAAAGCATCACTGAGACACCAAGGGCACCTTGAACCAGGAATGTTTGGCAGCCCTTTACGGGTTCGGGTGGCATCATCATGGACACCATCTGATGGACAGAGGGCAGTATGCCGGCTCACAGACATCTCTTCTGCGTATCCCCTGCTCAGGTTTGTCATTGGCCAGCAACTCTGAACGTGCCATTGCTGATTTGTGTCTGTCAAATGGTTCCATGTTCGGGACAAGCTTGATCGTGATTCATAGCACCCACCGATAGTTGGGCCCAACAGGCAGCTGGGATCCCTCTGCCTTTTGGGCTGAGAAACAGCCAGTTAGCACAGTGGCTGTGTCAAATGGACACAACAGAGGTTGGCAGAGTTTGCCTTTAAGCCATCTGATAACAGAGCCCGCTCCTCCTCCTCCCAGAGCTCGTCACATTTCTCCTTGCTGCAGGTGCCAGCTGGGATCTCTGCTCACTCCTTCCTCCCTCCCATCAGCCTTCTCCCGCAGGCCCTCAAGGGGCCTGTCCCCGCTTAGCACCCCTCCCGGGACTGTGCATTCTGCCTTTCTGGGGCTGCTCTTGACCGTTGCCTTCAACTGCCGTTGGAATCTTCTCTCGCTAAAATTCTCAGCAGTTGGTGTCCCGGTTCTGCAGCCAAGTGGGCTGGACTATCATGCCTCAAGGACGCGGTCCAGACCTTCATGTGGGGACCCAGCAGCGAGCATGCTGGAAATGCCCAGTGAACTTGTGATAAATGATTCAATTATGAACTTAATTCCCAGCATGGGTTCTGGGCCAGTCAGGGCTGCATATGACACCCTCTTGTCACTGCCTGATGATGGTTTTCCAGGGACTCTCTCTGCCTTAGCTGAAGAAAAACTTGATGTAGTGGCCTTGCCAGGCCCAGCAGATGAGGTTTTTGGGGCCTGGGAGACTTTGGCCCCCTCATATGGCCCCTCTCCTGTCCTCCCTGGGCTCTTGTGTGTGTCTTTCCCAGCAGGCACCCAGCCAAGTGCATCCAGCTCAGCGATGGGGCAGGGCTGTATGGGGATTTGTGTGCTGAATTTAATAACCTTTCTCCCTTCTCAGGGCGACAGAGGAAACCAGTATCCCCAAGGTGGAGGTGTCCCCTTCCCCTGGGAGCCCTGCCTCCTCACAGGCTGCCATGCTCGGTTGTCCCTGTGACTCACCAAGTGTGTGCAGAGGCTGGAGGGTGGGCAGGGGCTGGGAGGGGCTGGAGAAGAGGCTGGTCTTGCTTCTGACACTCGAACTCCTCAGAATTGCCACCCGCCCTGTGTGTCAGCACTGAGAGGGCATTTTAGAGATGGACAGAGGCCTGGCCTTCGTTTTCTGAGTACCTTGAATATTTGAAAAAAGAAGAAAAATGCCAGAATTGGTACAAAAAATTGTAGGTGGTATATTCTATTTAGATGCTTAATAAAAAAAATGCTGCTAAACACTTATAAAAATACAATGGCTAGGAGGACCCTCATTTGGAGAGAATGGTTCCATATATCCATAGACCATAGATTCACAGTCGATGATTTGAGGTCGTTTGTGAATGAGATTCAGAACGCGTGGCTCTCCTGGTCCTCTGCTCCCCTTCACCTCCGTGTTAGATATGGGTGCCTTAGGCGGGGCGGGGTGGGGGGTCTCCTGCTGGAGGGCTCAGGGCCCCCACTCTTCTACGGGACAAAAGCCTTCAGGTCAACCTTGTGCCCCTGGGGAGAGGAGTGGTGCCCTCAGGGTGGCCTGGCCTGGGCAAGGAGGGTCTCCTTGCTGGGCTGGGGTGAACAGCAGGTGGAGGGACACAACCTGAGTCATCCGTGGGACACGATGCCCCCTTCTGCTGATGTCCTCCTCCAGCCAGGGGCTCATCACTGGGGTATCTGGGTTACCTTGGTTACAATATGGGAAAAGGAAGTTTTGCGAATGGCTTCTCCTTGGGTGCTTTCAGACTTAAGAAATAGCTCCACCATTTGTGGCCAGCTTTCTGCTGGTTTCCTTCTGTGATGATAGCAGCCGCCAGTTCGCCTCATGACATGCCTACATCAGCCAGGCATTGTGTTAAGAGCTGAAAATACAGCGGTTATTCACGCTGGCTGTCCTGGGTCCTGGGGGCAGGGGAGCTGACCGTTGATTTGGGAGAAAGGCACAAGTGAGTGAGTCACCTCCATGTAATGAAGTGAGTGCTCTTCTTGGATTATGACAGAATCATAGAGGAGAGCCGCCCACCCAGGGTGGGGCGTTCCTGAGAAGGTTCTGGAACAGAGAGGGAGGCTGAGCTGAATCCTGATGAAGAAAGGACTTAGCCAGGCTGGAGTGGGTTGTGAGAAGATCCAAGGGACGGGGGCACCCAGCTTGGGTCGAGGTATAGAGGTGTGACAGAGCAGGGTTGAGAATATGGGGGCCTGAGTATCCAGGAAACAAGTAGGGGTGGATGTGGAGTGGGAATGAGGGAGCAGGGGTCTTATCTCTCACACTGGTGAGGAGCAAGAGAGCGAGGGGGTCCGGTGGGTGTTTTGGATGAAACTCTTTAGCTGCAGTATAAAGAGACAGATCTCAGTGGGGGAAGGGGGGGTAGGGCTTGACTGGAGGAGGTAGATGATTGTATGTGTAGGGGTGGCCCTGGGGAGAAGCCATCAAACTAAGAAAGGAACAGAGTTGGGTGACAAGGTGTCTTGTGGCCTCAGGGGCAATGGAAGGGAATGTAGCTGGGCCAGGCTGATGTTGGGCATCAGCACTCAAGACCCTTCCATAATAGGAGTGAGGCAGCTGGGAGGGTGAGAGGAGCAGTGGAGAGGAGAAATCCATGGGGACAGATGTGTAACGGACAGGGGTAGGAGCCAGACAGGGGCAGGGGCTGGGAATGGGGGAGAGGAGAGCTTGCTGGAGAATCCAGAGGGCACGATTGGGTGGGCTGTCCCTCGTGTACCCACTTGGGCATTCTGTTCCACCAGCAAGTGCAGGAACTCTGGGGTCACTGACCTGAGGCTTCAGGGTTGATATCTCCCTCCAGTGCCTGCCTAACACTGTGCCTGACACACAGTAGGTACTAAATTAATGTTAAGTCCACTGAACACAAATACAGCATGGAGGCCAGTGAGAGGAGGGCTGGAAACATCCAGTGGATTTAGCAATGGAGGTGGGGCATTTCTGGAGAGTATTTCTGGGGGACAGGTGGAAGCGGAAACCAGATTTCTGGGGAGTAAGGGAGGAGGTGGAGGAGGCAATTTTTGTGGGTGGAGTTGGGTGAGGCAAGGGGTGAGGAAATAGAAGACAGGGAGTCTGTCTATTCTTTCTAGAAGCTTGGCCATGACAGGAAGGAGAGAAAGGGCAAGACTCATGGTTGAAGCACTTTTCAAACATTAACAGTAACTTTCATTGCTTCCCCCATCCCTACAAAGATTGCGCGTTCCTTACAGAAAAGCTGGGAAACGCATATAAGGAGGCAAAAAAATCAAAATGAAAATCACCCGTTAATCCCATCCATTGGCAATATATGCTGTTAAACCTTGGAGCCCTTGCCTTCCAGACTTTGTTGCTGTAGTTTTTTTTTTGTTTGTTTTTGTTTTTAGTAGAAATGGGTGTCGTGCAGCACATTTCTTATTTTGCGACATACCTTTTTCACTATCTCTTGTATAACTTCCTCTGTCCGAGCTACTATTCCTCCAAAACATCCTTTAAAATTTTATCTATCTACCTAAATGGTCCAAACGGATCAAACCTCAACACTTACAAAAGAGGATTGATTCAGTGAGAAGTTGCCTTTTATTGCCTGCCCCTGAGCTACCGAGTTGGCCTTGGAGGCAACTGGTATTTCCTTCTTTCGTCCAATATGGTGATTAGATACTATTCCAATGCATGTGTCTTTCAAAACTTATTTAAACAACTTCTCATCTTAGATATTTAGACGTGACTTAGTTTTATTTTGCTATTATACATCAGGCTATAGTAAGTCTTCTTCTAGCTAAATCGTTGTGCACATACCTTGTCTTCCTAGACTACATTTCCAACAGTGGGAGTTCAGGGTCAGAAGGTAGAATGACAACTACAGAAAACTTTCAATACCAGGTTTTCCCTCCAAGGAAATCAACGTCTATTGGCGTTCCCCTCCGCAGAGCATGAGAGTCTTTCTATCCCCACCTGCCCCTCCACCCGTGTTATTAAAACTCACTTCCTCCACCTGTGCCAACTCAGTGTTTTGTGTTTTTTTTTTGTTTTTTTTTTTTAAAGGTGCACGTGAGGGCCTCTAACCGTCACTGTGAGTTGCATTTTGGGAGAAACAAATGGCACCATGGGGGACGATAGGGGAGCAGGTGTTGCAAAGGCAGTTCTGAGCCCAGAAAGTGCTGACCTGGCGGGAGGGCAGAGAAGATTGAGCTGAGGAGTGAGCTGGCTGGCTTGTCAGTGAGCACCAAGCCCGGGGACAAGGCCCTTCTTCATTTCTAGAACCCTCGCCCTGGCCATGAGGAGCAGGAGGGCCTCCAGAGACCTGGAAGAATTTGTGGGTGAGGTCCAGGGACAACTGGTATATGGTCTGGGCTGGTTTTTGTTCTTCTTTCAAGAGGCAATCCTGTGGGTTCTTTGCTGACAGCATCCGGGGCGGGGTTCCAGGAACAGCACGGAGTGGGGTGCATGCTCTTGGGTGAGCAGAGTCCGCCTCTCCCTTGACTTTGCCTTGGGGTGACTGCATGTGGCCCTGTGCTCCCAGATGCAAGGCTGCATGATTCCCGATTGGGGAAGAGAGGCAAAGGGCTGTTAGAGACACGCACCCAGTTGGAGCGTGCGCGGAGAAAATCTGCCTCACCCTCATTCATACATTCCCGGGCTTGCAAGGTCTGCACTGGGTGTCGGATGGGCTGTGTTTCCTTTTGCATTCACCCTTCCTTAGGGACCCTCTGGAAAGTCCCTGCTTCTCCCATGTTGCCCCCAAGGGGAGCTGCTTCTCTCTGGTTGTTTTGCATACAGCAGACACCAGGCCTTTCTCCAGACTATTTAGTGTGTGTGTGTGTGTGTGTGTGTGTGTGTGTGTGTGTGTGTGTGTGTGTGTGGTGTGTTTCCCCAAAAGAGAAAGGAAGAAAGAAAAGAAAATCGTTTGGTTTAGTCTGTAGTTACTTGTCTCTGGGTTAGGATCGCTGGAGGTTGCCCCTGCCTCGCGTCCAGCTTGACTTCCAAGTTTCTGAGGCCACATTTAGCCCCTACTCCCCACCCCTGAGCTCCTTCAAGGACTGTCAACTCCCTTGAAATTGGCACCCCAGAGAGTTGGAATGGGAATCCTCACTCCCTGTAAATTTGGAGTTGTATTTTGTTGCTGCAGCTTGCTCATTTCCTGGTTATTCTCATGGATAATTCCTGGATTATCCATGAATTGGATATATATGTATAGATATATCTTCTTCTTCCCCCCCAAGGCCCTGTTTTTGTGTGTGTCAGGCATCATTTCCAGAGAGCCCACACTCCACCTAGATTCTGTATTGGTCTCTGCATGCGGGGTTTAGGGCCGCTGTTACCCAATTACCACAAACCAGGTGACTTAAAACAACAGAAATGTATTGTCTCACAGTTCTGTGAGTCAGAAGCCAGAAGTCAGGGCATCAGCAGAGTTGGCTCCTTCTGGAGGCTCTGAGGGAGAATCTGCTCCATGTCCCTCTCCTCGCTTCTGGTCGTTGCTGGCAACCTGTGGCTTTCCTTGTCTTGTAGATATATCACTCCAGCCTCTGCCTCTGTCTTCATATGGTGTTTTCCTCTCTGTATGTGTCTTTGTGTGTCCTCTCCTTATAAGGACAAAAGTCACTGGGTTTTAGGGCCCACCCCAATCCAGTAGGATCTCACCTTAACTAATTACATTTGCAAAGACCCTATTTCCAAATAAGGTCACATTCTGAGGTTCTGGGTAGACATGGATTTTCAAAGGTCACCGGTAAACCCACCACAGTGTCTCCACCTTCCGACCCTTCCTTCCACCGATCCGTCCCATGCACCTCGCCAGAGCCATTTTTCTCAAACCTCCTTAGCAGGAGCAACCAACTCTTATGCCAAAAATCTCCACTGACTTCCCGCTGCCAACAGAATAAAGTCCTATCTCTTTAGCTCAGCTTCAGAAGACTCCCCATAGTGTTGCTCCAGCGATCTCTTTCACGTTCCTTTTCTCCACTCTCCTTCACACATTCTCCAGCTGCATCTGGAAGGTCTTCTGTGGCGTGGCACATGCTGTAAAGGGCTCTTGTCTTCTGCTAGGGCCTCTGTCCCTTGCCTAGATGCTCTCCTTTTCAAGCATCCATGTCATGTCATAGCCTTTTTTCTCTGATGAGAACATCCCTGGCCAGTCGAGATCAAGGGCTCAGCGCTGACCACAGACCAACTTAGATGCCACCCCCTTCCTTCCCCCATCCTCAGTGATGACCGATGCTACTCTCTGCCAAGTGGAATTTTTATCCAAAGATAAGCCTGTGTCTAATACGTCTTTGGGTCTTTGGATTGGAAAATGATGCATTGAATCTTGTGACTTCTTGGCAAATGACTGTGGGTGCCGCTGCTGTGAGCACATGAGGGGGATGATTTGAATCTGAAGCAACCAGGATGCTCATGGGTCAGTGCATGAACTCCATGCCTATAGCCCCACTAGGTCTGAAGCAGATGAAGATCCCCTGTGTGGAGATGAAATGAGGAGAAGGAGAGAATGGCTGCTGTATTGAGAGTCAAGGGCAGTGGTCTTTCAAAGGAAGACATAGGAGAAGCAGATCCCTAAGGTTGGGTACTGAGGGGCACTGGGCTCAGTGGGAAGGGTTGTAGTGATATCCAGCAGGCCCCCTCCCCATCCTCCCTGATGGACGGTTGGTGAGCAAGATGGCAGGTGGGGCAGGGCTAGGGAGGGAGGTAAAATGGAGACCTAGGGTACAATGAACAGAATGGGTTCCAACACCTTTCACTTCCAGCTTTCACAGATGCCCTGAACACTTGAAAGCAACAAGGAAGTTTTCATTCCAAAGAGTGATGCTGGTGTCTTTTTCTAGCCCCTCCCAAGTGGCACTGATTGACCATTGACAACTGGCTCTTCGAACTCTCTTCCAAAGCATTGCATCTCTGTGGAGACACATGAGGAATGTAGTTCATCTGCAAGTAGGTTTCCTCTAAACTGTCTTGCCTCCCTGTGTTCTGTCTTTTTCCTCTGCTCATACCTCAGTCGCATCAAAGCCCCATAGGCATTGTCCCTGGGGATCAAGAAGCAGTCCACCCCAAAAGGAATAGCAGAGACATAAAGAATTGGAGCGAGAGAGAGAGAGAGTTCTGGGCAGACGCTCAAGGTGTGGGTGGCAGGTTGAGCCCACTGATTTGTGACATTCTGCATTTCAGGTACTGGGACATTTCCAACATCAAAATCTTTGAAGCCACCAGGGCTCTTTCTTGCTGGGTCTTGGCAATACTCCTTCATGTCATAGGTTTAGAAACTCAGGCTAAAGAAAGTACCCAGGGAAAAGTGCTTGCCCCTGGAAATGTTCATGATAGCTCTGCTCCTTCCCCTATTGACTCCTAACTCCGCATGCATGGTCTCACCTGGCTGGGTTCAGAAAATAGTTATCTTATTATAAAAACAGTAAACCCTTGACTCCATTAAATAATTATAGCTTCTTAGACATCCCATCTAAAAGGTTTCCCATTTTTCTTCCTGACAAATTGCCAATTTGTGCATCTCGAAGCAGATGGATCTAGTCAAATTTCCTTTGTCAGTAAGTATTCTGTGCAACAAATCTGTTTCCAGGTCCTAAAGGTGACTTTGCTCAGGTTCAAGCCAACAACCTCCACCCCCCCAACCAAACAAAAAGGAATGACCCCAGTTTGAGTTAGTCGTATCCATATACATGAAGGCTATCCATGAGTTTGAAATGTTTTAAGAATCAGGAAGGGCGGGGGAGAGGAGACAAGAGGAAAAGGATGAATTGCTTATGATTCTGCTCTTAAGGAGTGATTTTATGTCACTGCTCCCTGCTACTGGAAGTTGCCATCCACCTCTGACCAAAGTACAAAGAACATTTGACACAACATAAAACATGAAAAGAACTTTCAGTGGCTTAGTGTCCTGGCTGTGACTCAAATGTGCATGCCCAGGCAGGCTCCACAGTGGATGTCCAGCTCCATTGCTCTGCTCTAGGAGGCTGAAGCAGATGTGGTCCATTAATGTCACTGTCTTGCCAATAGCAGTTTCCATCGATGCAAGCTGGACTGATCCAACTGTAGTCTTACTTCTGAAACATCCAAGGATTCTAGGTAGCTGCTTCTGTGTTTCTTTTTCCAACTAGACAGTGAATTCCTTGAGGGAAAGGATAATGTCCATTTGGTTTGCATCTGTAGACATCAGCTCAGTAATCGGCACATAAAGGCACTCTGATAAAAAAAATTATTTTTTAATGAAATGGTTTAAAAACAGCAAGATCCTCTGTAAAAGTAGGACATTATACTCCTCTAGCTTTCTTCAGAGCATATAAATATTTGGTAGGAGGTTGCACCAGGACTGGGATTCTGATTCCTAGTGGTGCCGGGATCTGGGGCTCTGGGACTTAGAGACAGAAGAGATGGAACTCTGGTTCCATCAAGGACAAAGCTGATGGGAAACTGTGGCATGGGTGTTAGGAGGGAGGGTGAATTAGTTTCCTATAGCTGCTGTAACAAATTACACCAAAAGATGCGTGGGTTAAAACAACACCAACTTATTAGCTTAACCATTCTGGAAGTCAGAAGTTCAAAATGAGTCCCCTGGGCTAAAATCAAGGTGTTGACAAGGCTGTGTTCCCTGGGGAGGCTCTAGGGGAGAATGGTTTTCTTGCATTTTCCCATTTCTAGAGGCCATCTGCATCCTTTGGCTCATGGCCTCTGCCTCCGTCTTCAAAACCAGCATCTTCAAATCTCTCCGACTCTTACCCTGACCCTCCTGCTTCCCTCTTTGACTTATAAGGACCCTTGAGATTACATGGGGCTCAACTGGTTCCCCATCTCAAGGTTACCTGATTAGCAGCCTAAATTCCATCTGCAACTTTAATTCCCCCTTTCCATGTATTTAATCTGCATTTAAATTTAATCTAAATTCCATCTGCAACTTTAATTCCCCCTTTCCCGACCGACCGTCTGCACCCAGAGCCCTAAGCAAGACTCAGCAGGAGGCCCCTGGCCTCCTCTTCCTCCAGTTCTTTCTTCTAC